ACACACACACACACACACACACACACACACACACACACACACACACACACGTTGGTATTGCTATCCTTATTAGGACATTGTATTGATTTTCACTCATTTCTGTAGCCTTTTATTAATACATTTTAACCCAAACATGAAATTCCACCATTAGGACTGAGATTTAGTCTCTAGTACGGGTCGAAGCAGGAGATTATACCAGAAAAGTTTTTAACACAAGCCCAGAAAACACACATACAAAGAAAACTCGGATGCATTAATTTTTAAAACGTGTTTGTTTTGAGTGTAATCAGACGGTTGGAGGCAGGACAGCAGCTTGACGTGGAGACGACTCCATGGTTGTGCTTTTAGGGGGTGTTTGTTAGCTGAGGAGGACAGAGGGAAAGAACAGCTCGCTTGTTAAGTCCAGAGGTCAAGACAGCAGGGGTTGGTGGGGTCAGGAGATTAGGGCAGAGGGGGTTAAAGCACAGTGGGACACAGGGCACACATTATGGTCTGAATTAGCTGAGGGCTGGATGCTTTTTTTTTTCTGCGCCGTTCTTTTGTTTGGCTACAAGTTGTGAGTTTATTTATGAAGTGAAAATAAAAACCTCCATCTCCATTTACTTGGCACCTAGAGACTGGCAGAATATAATCACAGATCCAAAAGAACCCGTATTGTTCTGGGACTACCGTGCTGGAGCCGAGGGTACATTCCTTTCTGTGGGGGAGACCTCAGTCCAAACTCTAGCATTTCATTTGACACTTAACATAAAAAAACCTCTTCATACCTATATATTTTTTTCTTTTACCATATAAAAACAACTCATGCTAATGTGCAAAACCCAAGACATGAGGAGCTCTGGTCGAGAATTACGTTGTATAAACATCTGATCAGAGAACTGTGGTCTGTGTGCTGAAATGGGATCTTGGGAGATGCATTTAAACTAGGCAGGGGATTCTGATGAGCCCGTTTCACAAAATGTTGCACCACAATGTCTATTTTCTATTGTTACAACCAAATTATTTTACAATGGAAGCGCTGGGAAACGTCAAGTTCTTCTAAATGAGTGTGGTTAAGAAGGGGCTGAGTAGGAGATTCACTGGAGGGGATGGAGAAAGAAGAAGACTGGAAGGATTCAAAGAGAACAAAATGRTTTAGAGCTGCAGGAAAAACACACCACAAAGATCAGAATTTGTTTGAAACAAACTGATTTATGATTTAACTAAGTATTTAGTTTCATTGTACTAAAGAAAAATGTGCTTAATAAGCATAAAGCTCAGACAAACTCACAAATTTAGGACACTCTAAACAAATCCTGAATGTAATCATTTAAAAATCTTATATTATTGAAAAATGCAAGAAAAAAACAGTTAAATACCACTTCATGATAAATAAAATAAATAAGAAGAGTCAAACTCAGTTAAGGGGGCCAAAATTCTAAATTTAGTCAAGGGCCAATTTCTGCCAATATCTATATATTTAAAAATATCTTGTTTTTCAATGTTAAATAACAAATTATTCTTATA